TTGAGGTCCCCCACTACTAGTGCCTGCCCACACTATGTAGCTGTTGTCTGTTGGAGCCTTTGTTTAGGGGCCGTGCACCCCATTCCCTGGTGTTTGAGCAGGCTCCTGGCTAGGGTCTCCGTGCACTTACTGATGTTATTGGGGTGGCCCTCTGGCTGATGCTTGTGTACTTGTGCAGCTGTTTTCCAGGCAGGCCTTTGGTTTGGGCCTGTGTGCCCAAGATGCTGGGTTTGGAGCGGTGCCCTGGTTGGGTCCACCTGTGTCTGAGGTGCTCTGGTCCTCACTGGTGCTCTCTGGGATCTGCATGCACTTACAGATGATATCGGGATGGGCCCAGGAGTATAAATGAGTTTTTTTGACAGAGAAGTTTTTTTTTTTTACACTGACAACACAATAAAGGCATGTATACATATTCTCTCTCCTTCTCTCTCCCTCGCTGTCCCTCTCTCTCCGCCTCCTCATACTACTCCAATTCTAGGAGTCTGTAGTTTTCTTTAATATAATTGCTTGTTTATTTGCCAGTCTTTCACTACATGTTATAAATTTCATCAAGATGAGATTCATTTTCCATGCCTGTCACACGGCAAATTATTGGATATATTAAATGACTTACTTTTCTGTGATATTGTGTCATCAAACACCTTCAGAGCAGTGTAATACTAGTGACATGAAATGGCAGCAAAAAATCCTTCTTTTTCCTGCTTTATTTTAATCTGTTTTCTTATGTCTTCAACAGCTTCTCAGTTTTTTCTTTTTAATGTTAGTGATCAAGAAACTTTGGATCTGAAGTGAAACTTGTATATTTCATCTAGTGACCCCGTGCAAGAAAAGTAAGGCACTTCAACAATTACTCAACTGCACTACTTCAACAGCTACTTCTCAAACTCCTCTTTTAAGTATTGAGTGGAGAAATTTTCCAGAGGGAATAAAATAATCAATGATAAATTCATTTAGCATTCATTAAGGAAAATGCAACTAATTTTTGTAAATAGGGAAGATAAATATTTTTTATTGTATTGAATGAATATCTAAAAGGCAAAACTGTATCTGGTTTGAAGTTAAGTAACAGTTCATGATTTGGTTTTCATACAGAGTTTCATCTTTTGTTTTTTAATATTTCAAAAAAAACCAAATTAGTGTATTATGGTCTAATTAGAAGGAATATTTTCCCTAAATTCCCAGGTAAGCATATATTGACTCTAAAACATATAGAATGGGTAATGTCACAGTAGTATGAAAAAGTTTCTTTAGGGCTGTTAACCTTAAAGAGATCTTTAGTGTGTACAGAATGAAATTGATTTTCAATAATACCACTGTGCTGTGAAATGGTGACAAGTGGGGAATAACTAACAAACTAAATAGTAGTTTTCCCTCTTATTTCTTAAATAGAATCATTTGTTTACTTATTGACATATGGGTGAAAAAAGCCTTGATATAGCTGACCTACTATTTGATTTCATTGTATAGCCAGGAAAACTTACATATATACAGTTATAATCACTGTAGCATTTTAAGACCTCTGTTTTTAGGATACAACAGGGCTTAACAAACTGTAATCCATGGGCAAAGTCCAGCTTTCTGCCTGTGCCTATTAGGCCTGTGAACTGAAAATGGTTTTTATATTTTTAAAATCAAAAGAAGAATAATATTCACAACAGATGAAAATTATATAAACTTCTAAATCACTTTCCACAAATAAAATTTTATTGGAACATAGCCATACTCATTTATGTGTTGGCTGTGGATGCTTTACAATACAACAACAGACAGAGTTTAGTAATTGCCCACTATCCCCAAATATTTACTCTCATACCCTTCAGAGAAAATGTTTGCAACCCCTCAGCCACATTAGTGTGTTTGCACGATTTTGTACCTTAAGGCAATTTTCTCAGTTTAGAGCCAATTTAGTAATGAAATAAGTCATGTTGAATAAATTTCTTCAGATTTTTAGGAAGGCAGAAAAAATTGAACTAGGTAGTGTAAAAAGCGGGAAGTTTTCACTTTCATCATCAGTTTCAAACTTGCATAAATACTTATTACTATTGGACACTATTGTAAGAGCTTTATGACTTTTCTGAATCCTTGTAACAATCGTGTAAACTTGGCATCTCTCCAAATAAGTAAACCATAGAACATGTATAAGTGAAAGTTAAATAAATAGTAGGACTTAAATTAGAAAAGGAAGTTATACAGTTGTTTATAGCAGTTATATAATTAGTAAGGGGCAGAGTCACAATTTGAATGTAATCATTTGGTTTCAAAATCAGTGTTCTTTATTACTGTGGTATGCTGTCTTTTCTTTTCTACTTTTGCTTATTTGGAAAAGCCTGGGATTAAAAATGGAATTTGGTTATATAGTGTGTATGTTATTTTAAAAAGGTTGGGTTTGCATTAATTTACTATAGGTGCTATAACAAAGTCCCATACACTAGGTGCCCCAGAACAGCAGAAATTTATTCTGTCTAGCTCTGATGCCTCGAAATTCAAATTAAGGGTATTAGAAAGGCAATTCTTCCTTTAAGACTCTAGGTAGAATCCTTGCTTCTTTCTAACTTTTGCTGGTGATATCACCAATTCTTGGTGCTTTTGGTTTTCAGCTTGATTATTCTAGTCTTTATTCATGGTGACTCCCCAGTGTGACTGTATCTCTGTGTCTTTTCTCTAAGGATATTATTCAAGTATTGAAGCCCATCCTATGCTAAAGTAACCACATCTTAATTTAACTAGTTACATCTGCATGGTCCGGGGTGTAAGGTCACATTCTGAGGTTCTGAGAATGACATGAATATTGGGAAGACATATTCAAGCCAGCACAGAACTCATGAGTATACACTTTATGAGCTAGACATAGTTTTCTGAGCATCTCTCATTTTTACCTTGGAAACCCTAAATGAAAAGTGGACATTTTGTACCAAGAACATTCAGGGATTTGTTTCTTTTTTGAAGGGTTCAATCCAATGCTAGATTATATTCTGCAGGGAAGACAGACTTATTCTTAGTTCCTGTCTTTTTTCTACTTTCTGATAGCCTTTTCACATGATTCAATTGAAGTCTCATTTTAATTGTGAATATTTTTATTCTGGAATGTTCTATGAGTTTTAAGGAACATTTTCTCATCTGTTACTGTAACCTATGGTGGTTTGCCTTCATTTTTGTGAATTTATGAATTTGTGATAATTGACCCAGAGATAAGCTTGTTTTTACAGGTGATTAAATTCTAGTAATTTTATTGTAAAAATCTTGTACCCACTCTTATGGAGTTTGTAAGTAAGGTTTAGTAAATAGTAATGATTAATTTTTATTTTCAGTAATTATTACCATTGTGAAAATTAATGGTGCTGCCTCAAATTCAGACCTGGACCCTCTCTTTTCCTTTGAAATCCAAGAGTATTTATTCCAATCATGTCAACTTATCTCCTTTTGTTTATTTTACAGGGTGCCCGGGAAACATTTGAGAACTACTACAGAAAACAGAGGCGAAAACAGGCCCGATTGGTGCTCCAGCCTCCATCAAACATGGTAAGATCATGACTTTCATTTTTTACACATTTTCCTTTTCTTGTCTGGTGTGTGTGTGTGTGTGTTGGATGTGGGTGGCAGTAAGACTAGCAAATAGCATCTATTGATTGCTGTGTGTCAGCCAGTCTTCTAAATACTAGATATGTATTGCCTCATTTCATTCTCATTGTCATGATATAAAGTAGGTAGTATGATCATATTAGTGAGCAGTCTGCTCATGGGGAAATAGGACTCTGCAGGCAAATCTTAGGCACCCACAGGAGTCTCTTGGCGGTAACAGTTTGAATTGGGCAAAGGAGCCCTGTCCTCTTCTCCTATAGCTTCTTGGTAGATAGCAGGGCCCCTGCCGGGAACCATCTTGCTGCCATCAGGAAGATGATTGGTTTTGACCTGGGGGGGCGGGGCATCTCTCATCAAGCTCATAAGCATTTTCTTTGCTAGCGGAAACTTCTGAGATATGGCAAGAGTAACCTACACAACTTCAAGCCTTGTTACCCCTGATTCCATCTTTGTTTTGCCAGTTTTTATACACCTAAACAAAATGCTCCTAAGTCCAACTTTAAGCCATAAAGTACTGTTATCATATTTATCTTATAGACTGGCAGTGGTGGCGAATCTATGGCATGTGTGCTGCAGCGGGCACTCAGAGTCAGCATGCAAACCAAGTTGCCCCAGCAGCTGAGCATAGGATAACAGTTCTTTTTTCCAAACTGAAACCTCAGTATTACTCAGGTTTAACTGCAGTGTTGGCACTTTGCAATTTGGATTGTAGTTTGGGCACTGAGTCTCTAAAAAGGTTCACCACCACTGGTCTAGGGAATTGAGCTTCAAGATTAAATAGCTGATTTTAACATTGTCTTAATGTAGCAAATTAGAAACAGTAACTTTTTTCCCTTTGCTTTGTTGCAGCATGAAACTTTAGATGGCTACAGGAAGTATTTTAATCAAATTGTAGGGTATGTATATGTATGTATTCAAATTTTTATATATTTCAATACATAGATTTGTGAGACTTTGAATAATAGATCATATTTTCCTTGGGAAATTATTTTTACTTTTTGTTTTTTCTTTCTTTTTTTTGGTACCAGGGATCAAACTCGGGTCCTTGCGCTTGCGCAGTAGGAGGCGAAACCACTGAGCTAAATCCCCGGCCCTATTTTTACTTTTTAAAAAAATTCTTAAGGAAATTTAAAAAATTTTTTTCTTATGATTTGAGAGGTACAACCTATTGGTTTTAACATTATATTGTTGGAGGATACACTTTGTGGATAAAAAAAATTGAATTGTAACTTATTATATTTCATATTTTATTTATTGTTTGTGACACAGAACCATATAATCAGCAAAAGTTGACAAACATTTTCCAAAATGGCCAGATAGTATTTTAGGCTTAGCAGGCTATAGACACTCTGTCACAATGATTCAGCTATTTGATAGTCTGAAAGCAGCTATAGACAAGATGTAAATGAGTGAGCATGGCTGTGTTCCAATTAAGCAATCTTCATAAAAACAGGCAATGGGCCAGATTTATCCTGTGGGCTATAATTCGTCACTTTCACTAGAGTATACTATAGCAGTATGGGATTATAATTCCCCAGTAACCATTCCAAATACAAGCAACTTGCTCTAATTATAAAATAATGACTGCAGTTAAAAGACAGGGACATAAGTTGTATCCTTCCATTAAGTTTCTTTGTTTTCTTATTGTCAGATTTAGATGGTTTCAGTGTAATTATAATTTTGATTAAGATATATCACAAAGTTCCCTAATGAAGAATTTTTTAAATTAGCAATTAACATTATGCAAGATAACTGGAGGGATATTTTAAATGCAAACAAAAAGCTACAAAAAGAATGTTTAAAAATAAATTTCCTTTTTAAAAACACTTTTATAAGATACCTTTTCAACACTTTCGATGAGAAAGTCTACACTTTGATATAGTATTAATATGTATATGTCAATAGTTACAGAGATATCTATATATCTCTATTTTAATCAACATAGATATATAAGACTTCATTATCTCTGTAAAGTCTATTAGTATCTTTAAATACATGGGTGACCTGCTTTTTAAAAATAAATGGAAATAGAGCTGTGTGTGACAGTGCATGTCCATAATTCCAACACTTTGGAAGGCTGAGGTAGGAGGCTTACTGATTCAAGCCCAGGTTGGACAACATAGTGATTTAGTGACTATGTCTCAAAATTTTAAAAGGCTGGGTATATAGGTAAGTGCAGATGCCTTGGGTTCAATCTCTAGTCATGGACATAATTCTCAGTCTAAGAAGTCACTTCATTTATGATAATGAAGAATATTATGTTAGAACTTGATGATAGCTCTTAATGTTTGTCAAATCATAGAGATAGTAAACAAACTATAGTTTCTGACATCTATCCTTTTCTCTTCAATTTTAGCTTTTTTGTGGTTGAAGATCACATTTTACATACAACCCAGGGCTTAGTAAATAGAGCCTACATCGATGAACTATGGGAAATGGCACTTTCAAAAACCATTGCAGCACTGCGTACCCACTCGGTATGTATGAAGAAGCCCAAGAATTCTTAGAGCTGATTATCTGTATACCTGTATATTATCTGTATACCTGTATATTATCTGTATATCTGTAGTTTTTCACTGCTTTAAAATCAATATATGTATATCTTTGGAATCACCTATTTGGAACTATATATGTTCTTCAAAAACATAGGTAAGTCGCACCTTCTCAGTGTCATGTTCTTCAGCACTGACTTCACTTGTGTTGATGCTCTTTGCAAAAAGAAAATAGCGGGGCTGGGGATTTAGCTCAGTGGTTTCGTTGCCTGCTGCGCAAGCGCAAGGACCTGAGTTTGATCCTTGGTACCAAAAAACAAAAACAAAAACAACAACAAAAAAGAAAATAGCATTTAACATCCATTGCTTTCTAAATGCCAGTGATTGTTCTGTGTATTTCAGACACCTTGTCTTATTTCTTCCTCACTGCACCCATATAAATGTAGCTATTATTACACTAATGTTACAGTATAGGGCACTGACCTCAGAGAAGTTAGGTAACCAGTGTGATGTCACATGGTAATAGGTAGAACTTGGATTTAAAGCCAGTTGGAGCCCACATTCTTAGCTTCTACTTCATAATTACTCCTATCCATTAATGTTATTAACACTGAATAGGAATTAATAGTTTTGCTGTTGTCTTTTGAAAATAAAAGCAGTTTATCACATATCAAGTTGCTTAATTATCATTTGCCATATAGCTTTTGATAAATTTTAACATAATATGAATTTTGGTGATAATCTACATTATTTCAGGTAAAGAGTGCTAGTTCTGAATTAATCATTCAGTACATTTTGAACACATGTTGGGAGTGGTAATATAGATAAATAAGAGAGAGAAAATCTTTGGTCTCAGAGAATTGTATTTTACTACTTTTTTTTTTTTTTTTCAGTACCGGGGATTGAACTTGGGTCCTTGCACTTGCACAGCAGGCGACAAAACCACTGAGCTAAATCCCTGGCCCGAGAGGTGTATTTTAATTGGAGGAGGTTCTCAAACAATTAAGCATATCAGGCAGGCATAATGCAATACTGAGAATTAAAAGAGAGTGATAGATTAGGCCAATAGGGAGCTTTCTTCAATTGGTTTATAAGAAGTGGCATTCTGTGATAAGATTATTAAGGAGTCACCTATAAAGGGTACTTTCGGTTTAGACATAAGCAACAGTGATATAAGGGGTTTTATGTAGAAAGTTTTTGAGGAAAAATTGTGAGGAATCAACAACAAGAGAATTTAACATTTTTAAAAATCTCACTAAATTGCTCTAATATTCCTCTAATTGTTCCAACTAGACTTAAAAGTCATCCATAATCCTTCAGTTCTCTTTGTTGAATTCACCAACAAGTGTTCCGGACAAAGTAAATAACCAAGTGCAAAATCTATAGTGGAAGGTAAGATAGCCTTTTCAGAGAATTAAAAAAGGTACAGAATGGATAGAATACAGAAAGCTAGGTAGGTAAGGTAAGAAGCAAGAATGGAGAAATAGGTTTTATTTAAGATGTATTTGGCAGTAGGCGAATGGGGATAGGTGGGTGAAGGAGAAGCAGAGAAAGGGGAAGAAGAGAGAATTTGTGCGTGCGTGTGTGTGTGTGTGTGTGTGTGTGTGTGTGTGTGTATGGTAAGTTGCAGTGAGGTAACCAGATTTGGATTTTGAACAGATAAATTTTGCTGAAGTATGAGTAGTGGAGGAGGGTTAAGAATGGATCAGAGAAAAATTAGTAAGTTAGTATAATATTCCAGGCAAGAGATCATGTTATCCTAGATCAAAAGATGATAGTAATTATGGAAATATGTTCACAAATTCAAGAAATAAATTCTTTTAGAAGTAAGGATAATTTTACTTTCTGATAGATTAAGTATAAGAGATGACAGGAAAAAAGATTTCATGGTAATGCCTAGGTTTATGGCTGCCTTCTTTGTTAGTGAATTTTCCAAATACCTGAGATGGTCATCTTATAAAGAGAAACGATTTAGTTTTACTCACAGCTTTGGAGGTATCAGTCCATGACTAATTTGCCCTAATCATGATAACAATACCTGGTGCAGGAGGACCATTCATACCATGGCCCGGAACAAGAAGAGGAGGGCAAAGGGAGACCAAGAGGAAGAGAGAGGCTGTTTCTGTATAGGCAGAACCAGTACAGTCTAAATAACCATACTTCAAAAACTGATACACAGATTTAACACAGTCCCAATCAAAATACTAAAAGAATTCTTCACAGAACTGGAGAAAACAATCCTAAAATTCATATGGAATAGAAGAGACCCAGAATAGCAAAAGTATTTTTGGTAACAAGAGCAAATCAGGAGGCATCATAATCCCACACTTCAAGTTGTACTACAAAGCTATAGTGATAAGACATGCTCCTGGAATATATTGGCCAGTGGAACAGAAGAGAGGATGCAGAAATGACCCCATTCAGGTATTTCTTCTTTGACAGAGGGGCCAAAAGCATATACTAGAAGAAAGCCTCTTTAACAAGTGGTACTGGGAAATTTGGCTATTCACATGCAGAAGATTGACTCTGTAGCCTTATCTATCATTATATACTGAACTAAAATCAAAACAGACCAAAGACCTAAAGTTAAAACAGACACTAAATCTGGTGGAAAATAAAATAGGTAAAACTCTCGAAGACATAGGTGTAGGCAAGGTCTTTATGAACAGAGCCCTAGTTGCACAGTGCCAAGAATCAACAGATGGGATCATATCAAATTAAAAAGCTTCTGCAAAGCAAAAGAAATAATGAGCAGAGTGAAGAGACAACCTACAGAATGAGAAAAAATTTTTTGCCAGCTATTCCTCAGAAAGACTAATATCTAGAATATATGAAGAATTCAAAAAAAATTAGACTCTCCAAAATAAAAGATCCAATAAAAAATGGACAAGGAAAATGAATAGACACTTCATAGAAGTACAAATAACCAATAAATACATGAATAAATGTTCAATATCACTGGCCATTAGAGAAATGTAAATTAAAACAACACTGAGATTCCATCTTAACCCAGAAAGAATGACTATCAGCAAGAAATGAAATAATTAATGTTGGCAAGGGTGTAGGGAAAAAGAACCTTTCTACATTGTTGGTGGGACTATAAACTAGTACAATTGCTATGGAAATCAGTATAGAGATTCCTCATAAAACTAAAAGTACAAATTCCATTTGGTCCGGGTAGTCCCCTTCTAGCTATCTTCCTAAATGGGTTAAAGATGTCATGTAATTATGATACATGCATGCTTATGTTTATAGCAGCACAGTTCATAATAGTCAAATCTTGGAAGCAGCCTATATGTCCATCAACAGATAAATGGATAAAGAAAATGTGCCATTTCCTAAGCCTCTAACTCTTCGCTGGAGCAATCAAGAGAATGTTTACTCACTCATCTGAAATATACTAACCTGAGTCCAGGTTAAGAACATTCTGAATCTAGGTCACTGGCCCCACAGGACTTGAAATCCAACATCTGATGCTTTCAGGTTGGCAATATTTTGAAAGTTTTATTGCAGAAGAGCTTAATATTACTTCTTATTCGATAAGATTTAACTCTTCACTAATACTCTTGAATTAAGAATCCAGCACACATGAGCTGAGATTTTTCTTTTGTTAAAAGAGAAACAAAACATCTTTCTGTTTGAAAGTACACACTTCAGACACACAAGAATTGATGGAGGTGAGTGAGATTTTTGTACTTTTTAGATCATTGCTGTATATATATTTTTTATTTTAAATCTAATAAAATTAGGGACATCAAGCAGCTTATTCCATGAGAGTTAAAATTATCAATACTCCTGTAAAACAAGAGATTTCAGCCATAGAACAAAGATCTGTTTTTACTACCTTAAAGGTTTACCAATATTTATTATGTGTATGTGGTTGGTCATTTAAAAAGGTGAAATTTGTTAAAAGTTCTTTTTGGTATTTGTGTCATCAAGAGATGGAGGGAGGTGGGAGGAAAGGGATGAAAAAGAATTACTATGTGTCATGTACATGTACTAATTCCCACAAGAAAGGTGATCATTAGGTAGTACAAACATGTCCTTAGTGAAAAACAAAAGCTAAAAAAATTATTGGGATAGTTGTAGAAATGTTAACATAGACTTGGGATTTATAATAGCTTGCAACGATATTTTCTAATTTTGATAATTACTATCTAGTTACATAAAAGAGTGTATTAGTTCTTAGAAAATATGTATTGGAATATTTCTAACCTACTTTTAAGTGGTTCATTAAAAAATGTGTGCATGAGGGCCAGGGATTTAGCTCAGTGGTTCCACCATCTGCCTTGTAAATGCAAGGTCCCGAGTTCAATTCCCGGTACAAAAAAAAATGTGTGCACGAATAATTGTTGAATCTAGAAAAATGGTACATGGAAGTTTTTCATACTTTCTTTGCAACTCATGTTTCAAATTATATCAAAAGAAGAAGCTTTTCTCAAACCTCTAAAGGAAGAATCTGAGCAGCCATGGAATTGGGTTTGTTTAGTTACAGACAATACTTGTTCCCAGAAGGTTCTCTGGATGCAGCAATACTCATAGGCTGGCTGTGTTGTGAAAAATAATAGGTGACCTTTTGAGAACAGGAATAAACTGCCAAAGATGTCCACCTGCAGTAGAAGGTGGTCAGTCTGTGCAAGCTCTTCCATCTGTGACACCTCATGGCAGTTAAACGCTATTGCTGACTTCAGGGACATCTCTGCCAAGATTGACCTTCTTTGAACTCAGTCATTTCCCAGATTTGTTAGGCAGTTTGGGATAAAAAATGTCAGGAAGAAACATAATGGTTCTTGGTATGTGAGTTTCCAAATAAGAAATGTAACAGTATTTGTGTTATGGATTAATGAAGTAATGTTAGTCATACTTCCTTTGCTTTACATGCTTATGGACAACAATTATGTCAGGCTCTGCTTGTTCTAAACGAAAATAATACAAATACAATTGCATCAGTTCACACAAATGGGAAAAGCACAACTCTAAAGTTATGCAATAGTGTTTTCATATATGTGTTCTTAAGTTATTAGTAAACTGATTTTTATATTTGAAACTATATTTTCATTGTACTATGAAAACATTAAAAAAGAATAGTATTTATAGGATAACATTTTGAAATGCTAAGAAATATATATTTTTAAATTGCTTTAATTCAAATTTTCTGTCTGGAAAGAAAACCATGTTTTCCTCAAAGTAATATTCTTGCAATATTAGATACTTAAGTAGAAGCTAGTGATAAGTCATGTGAGTTTGGGGTGGAAATTTTGTTTTAAAATAGTGGTCAACATGAGAAGAAATAAATGTGAGTATAGCTATTAAAATAATATACCATTAAAAATAAAGAAGAGGAAGGTAGGGGGAGATAGCCTTTGTCTTCTACTTTAATAGATTTTAAAATATTTTATTTTCTCTTAATAAAACATAGCTATAAATCTTTAATCGGAAAGTTAACTTTCAGTCTGCTATATTTTGTAAATTTTTTTTGTAGTTTCATGTTCTCTTATCTTTGCTTTTTTTTCTGTAGCTTTTTGAGAGTTATAAAATTTTTTATATAAATTTGTCTTCTATTTTGAGATTTATATCTTTTCTATTACAAAGAATATGTAATTAATTTGTCCATATCTAAGTTTAGTATTTCTATACTTTTTAAACTCATAAGTTCCAAACATAAAATGTTTATTTTAGTATAGGATATGAGATTGGACTCTATCTTTATTTGATAATGATTTATTCCCAATAACATTATTTTGATTATCTATTGTCTTAGACAACTTTAGGTGCTATAACAAAATACCATAAAGTGTATGTTGCTTAAGCAGCAGAAAGCTATTTTCTCCCAGTTTTAGAGTATGGCAGCTAAAGCATGCCAAAATGATTGCTTTTCAGTGAGAGCTTTCCTCCTAGCATACAGATGGCTGGCTGCCTTCTACCTAAATTCTTATTTGGCTTATTCTCAGTATGTGTACTCAATTGGCTTTTTCCCAGCACCACAAAAGCCAAACAGAATAAAACTCAAGTTTAAGAATGGTGTGATAGTGATATGCATTCAGTAGATATGATACTTCAAATCTTGAAATTTGATCTTTCCCTCAGCTAGTGTATATAATATATCTGTAACGCTGGGCAGTGGCAGTGAGTTACTTGTAGCTCCCAGTTAGCTGTACCATCAGGAAGGTAAAAAATTGATACAATATAGTATAATGTGTTGCTAGATGAGGATGTTCTTTAGGACTATTAGATGCTTTTTTGACCTATGATATTTTCAACTTATGATGGGTATATAACCTATACACCTCATTATAAGTTGAGGAGTATCTGTATATTAAAAGAATAATATAGCAGAAGAAAGGAAAGTTTGTTGCAGTAATGGTTCAATAGTAAAAGATCTGCTAATATGATTGTTAATGATATTAGAAAATCAAATCTAGCCATTTGTGAAGAACATTGATATATTTTGTTGGGTTTATCGGAACAAGCTCAGTTCAGTATTTTAAAGTTTATTGTTATGGCTTATATCTAGATTTCCCCCCAGTGCTTTATGTGCTCATGGTGAAATCATGGGTGTGTGATACTGAATTTGTCTACTGATTGGTTTAGCATAGTTGTGGGTGTTGAAGATGGATTTACTGAAGAGGAAAGACACCTGCCCACCGAGGTGTGTGTGTGTGCGTGCATAGAACCAATCAATAGGCTTGTAACCTGAATGGAATAAAAAGGGAAAGAATAAGCAAGGCTTGCTGCTTTCTGCCTACCATGCCATGGACTGTTTCTCTTTTGCCGTGCCCCTCAGCCATGCTGCCCTGCCCTAGAGCTAGCAGACTATGGACTGAAGCCTTTATAAACTGTGAGCTAAAATAAACCTTTCCTCCTTTAGTGTGTTGGTGTCAGATATTTTGTCCCAACAATGAGATTGTATTATAATTCACAGTAGTAGTGGATTATATGACAAAATTGGTATTATTATCTTAATGACACAAGAAAGTATCTAATAAAACACAATAAATTTGTGGTGTATCCTCTCAGTAAATGAGATATACATGAGAATTCCTTTAATTAACCATGATAAAAGCCATCCTCAAAAACCTATAACAAATATCTGATTTAGTCACCATTTCTCTTACTTTTGTCTTGTACTTGAAGTCATATCCAGTGTTGTAAGGGCAGATAGATAAAAGCATAAACCTATGAAAGAAACAAAGCTATCAGTTTTATAGTTGATATGATTTGATATATTGAAAATTCAAAGGAATTAATAGAAAATTTACTATAATGGATGAATTTGGCAAGCTTCTTGGATACAAAATTATTATATAAAATCACTTATGGTTTTTAAACTTAGAATAAAAGTTGAAAAATTAAGAAGGAAATTTCTTGGTAGTGAAAAAGACCAGATTCTTAAAGTTGTAAGGATGCATCAAGTGTTAAGCAGAATATGGTACTCAACTTTGTCATTGCGGAGACACAAAATGCAGTATGCACAGTTTAAAGGAGGAGAGGATTAACTCGCTCATGATTTCAGTCCACAATTGGCTTGCTGCAAGACAGAGACACGGGGGAGGCATGCTACAGCAATGCGGGTTGCTTTATGGCAGTCATGAAATAGAGCACGGGAAGAGTGGCAGAGTGAAAAAGGTGAGGAAACAAACAAGGGCACCAACACCAAGCCTCCATGACCCACTGAAACTCTTCTGGAAGTATGTTTCACCATTTTCTACAGTAGATCCTAAAGCCAGTGAAGTTGAAACTTCACCTTGCCACACAAAGTAAAGGACAGGAGACAAAATTTTCATATCTGAATTTCTGTATTTTAGTTTGAGGCCAAGAAAGGTGTTTTCAAGTGTGAGAATTCAAAGCTGTCATCTTATCTATGAAAGATTTTTAATGATATTCTAAGAAATCCAAAACATAAGGTAGAATCAGATTAAATAAAATTTATTAAAGAAAGTGTACCATTCAATGAAAAATCCAAGTAACTATTTCATCATTTGTAATGTTTAGTGGTATTAATAATTCCTACAAAAGAGACATCATCTTGAAAAAGTATTTTTTAAAAATTAATTTTATTGGTACATTTTAGTTATACAATATGACATTCATCATTGGAAATTTGTACCTTTACATAATATATCTTGGTTCTTATTTTTTCCTATTCCCCTGCCCTCCCTTCAATCCCCCTTCCCTCTCTACAAAGACTTTGTTTCCATTTTTTCCTTTTCTCATATTAATACCATTCCCTTCTTTCCTTTCCCCAACCCCTCCCACTTTCTCTTCCCCTTTGGACCTAGTAGAGTACTACTCAGCCATAAAGAATGAGAAATTAGAGACATTTATAGCTAAATGGATGCACATTGAGGCAATACTCTTAAATGAAATAAATAGGACAGACGTGTAAATACCAAATAGTTTCTCTGGTATGAGAAACTGAAAGTGTAAATAAGGATCAAAAGGTATAATAGACAATGTGAAATAGGAAAAAAGTATTTTAATGAAGATTCCAGGCTATTTTAAGTAAATAGTTGACAGAAAATATGTTATTGAGCACTGTAAGATAATTAAAAGTAGTTTATCCAGGGCGGGGGATTTAGCTCAGTGGTTTCACCACCTGCTGTGCAAGCACAAGGACCTGAGTTCGATCCCCGGTACCAAAAAAAAAGTAGCTTATCCAATAAAAAAGGGGAACATTTCAAAAGAATTGCAACTAGAAAACTTAAAAGTTAGTTGGCTTGAATTGGACCAAATATGTAGATAATCCCAAGATCAGAGTTAGAAAGTTTTATAGCATGGTTTTTAGGGGATATTAAATTATTAGTACTTAAAAATTAAAAATGAAAAGAGAAGCATAAATTGCAATATGCTGCAAGGAAATAGAATTGAAGTTGATGAACTTCAGGTGGTAGAACAGAGAGACATTTTGTATTGCAATTAATATTAGCCCATCCAAGTGACAAGAGCCGTTTTCAAGTGAAAATATTCATAAAACAATAACTGTTGGTAGTAAGAAGAGAAACAGATGAACAACATTATTTTGGGAAAATTCAATGTATCTCTTTCAGGAATTGAGAGATCAAGTGGGGAACAATTAACAAGTAACACACACACGGGGGAGGCATGCCACAGCAATGCTGCTCACTTCATGGTAGTCAGGAAATAGAGTCCATAGTTGGCTGGCTCTAGGCAGTGTGGCATGGCAGAAAACAACTCATGGCTTGGAACAGAGTGTGGAAGATAAACCCTTGCAGGCCACACCTCCAGTGACCCACCTTCTCAGGCCCACATGATCCAATCCCCTCCCCAAGGCCTGACTATGAAACCATGAGGCTGTGGGGGGACATCTAGATAAAACCATAACAGAATTTAGATGTATATTTTTGAATTGCCAAAAAATGTAGATCATGGGCACTGAACTCTTTCTATTCAGATCTTCTCTGGTTGAGTCTTTTGATACTTTATACCAGAAAAGGATGAGATCCTTTCTGTGAAGAGCCTTGACCAGGCTGAATAATAAAAATTTTAATAAATTAAAATTTAGTTGTATTTTTCATAACTCAGATTATTTTCTTCCTTTTTTTTTCTTTTAAATGTCCTTTAGTCTTACTGCTCTGATCCAAACCTTGTGTTAGATTTGAAGAACCTCATTGTGCTTTTTGCTGATACACTCCAGGTATGTGAATTGTCTACATATGCTCATCTAGATTAGTATTTCACCAGCTCTAAATCTTTTTATTGTCCCAAAAAGTTTGAATGAGTACTTTTTAGTTTCTAAACCCCCTACCCCTCAGTGCAGAATCTTGTTATCTCTTCATAGTATTTCCTGGCCTTTTCTCTGACCCCTTAAATTCTCATAAATGCTCCCTTTTTTGGTCTCATATCAAATTGGACCACTTACTATGTTAGTTTTAAAATATGCTCTTAATTCACATGTGGCACCTTAATGTTTGTAGTTTGTTTAACTACTCCTGAAATAATTATGGTTGATTTGAACCACATGTTATATTCAGTAGGGTCACATTAGGAGTGGTGAGATTGGTAGCATCGTCACTACTCTGATAGTTGTTGTAGGCAGTAAGAGTTACAGGTGGAGATGGAGGGAGAACTGAGCTGACAGTGTACTGTGAATATATTGATTTTAATTTTTATCATTTTCCTGTTTCATGAAAAATATCTTAGAAGTTTTGATTAAAACACTAGATAATAGGTGGAAATGAAAGATTGTACCATCATGGTTTGTTTAAATTGTTGTCCAAAGGAGAAAGTGTTCATTGCCTAGCATTACCCAATCTCTCTAGCTTTGCTTTAAAAAGTCACCTTAGAAAATGAATCTATGGGGCTGGGAATTTAGCTCAGTGGTTCTGCCACCTGCCTCACAAGCGCAAGAATCCGAGTTCAATCCCCGTAACCAAAAAAAAAAAAAAAAGAAAATGAATCTGTTTTCTGATTTTGTTTCAGGTATATGGTTTTCCTGTAAATCAACTTTTTGACATGCTCTTAGAAATCAGAGACCAGTATAGTGAAACTCTGCTGAAGAAGTGGGCAGGCATTTTCAGGTGAGGAATTAACAGTCATATATGTGTATATGCATTGTGTACACACGTCTATATGTACAGTTTTTTAAGATGTAATAAACAAGAGCACATGGCTTATATTTTTCTTGCTATTCCAGGTTATGATTCAGAGTTCATGTGAATTGTAATCACATCTCAAATTATGTTCCCAAGATATCTGGTCTCAGGGTATTAGTGTCTACAGTGTAAAGATGTACCCAAGCTCTATTTTGACATTTTTGTTTCCTTGGATAAAAAGTTCATTATTTCATTTCATGTAGATCATCTTATGACTTCTTTTTCTGTTTTTTAGTTTTCTGTAAGGATTTGTATCATTTTTATGCCTCATTTATAGGATAGTGGCCTTTAAGGCAATGTGAATAATTTAGCCTTTTGGGAATTTGTGTGTGTGTGTGTGTGTGTGTGTGTGTGTGTGTGTGTGTGTTTGTGTAACTAGGGATTGAATTCAGGGTCTTTGCCCTGAGTTGCATCTGCAGTCCTTTTTTATGTTTTTATTTTGAAACCGAGTCTTGCCAAGTCACTTAAGTTTCCAGGCTGGGCTTGAATTTGTGATCTTCCTTCCTCAGCCTCCCAGAGTTCTGGGATTACAAACATGTACCACTATGTCTGGATGGGCTTTTTGAGTACTCGCTCATGTTATCCTTCATCTTTTGTGTTCATACCCAAAGAACAAGTATACTTCAGTTCTATATTTGAAGCCTGTAAGTTGTTATTGTATCATCTGTTATAATAAGAAAGTCATCCTGTTAGATCTCTCACTTACAAATGCCTCTTGGAATTTTGCTTGGCACATACCCTATGTCACTTCCTTCTTTTTAAACTTTTACTATTTTAAGCAATAGTCTTGCCTGTTGTATGATATCTTCCCCTGATTAACTTATCCTATTTCAAATTCTTAGTGTTAAGGTCTTACATGATTCATTTAATTGTAATCTTCAGTTTATTAATGTGTTCATGATCATCTCTCAGTCCAACTCATATTAATATATATAATTTCCAAAATCCAAATTTTGCTTATGGTGATAACTGTTTTTGGGGGACGGTTATCTTTTTTTTTTTTTTTGGTACCAGGGATCGAACTCGGGACCTTACGCTTGCGAGGCAAGCAGTAGAACCACTGAGCTAAATCCCCAGCCCTGGGGACGGTTATCTTTATAAGAAGTTTGAAAATCAATAACATGGTATATTTATAGTTTTAGGTGCTTTTGGTATGGTGCCTTCAGTGAGTTTCTATTTTAATTTGGGTAGGATGGTTTTTGCTTTTAGTGACCCCACAGTATAGTTAAGGGGGAGGAACCTATAGATTTTTTTAAAAATCTGATGAATGCAGAATAGTAAATAAAGTAAATGCACATAATTTGGGTTTTATTACACTTTCCAATTTCAAAAATTAGCGTAGTGTATCTAGCATAAAATTAAAAAATAATCACAATAAAATATATCTTATTAAAATAAAATAGAAACAACCTGTTTTTCTTTTCTAGAGCACATATTCTTTTCATTTACTTCTTTCTTGCTGTAACATTTCTGTCCCATTTGTACATCTCGTATACTGAGAGATCATGTTTATAATTGTGTTTCATTTGTTTCAGGGCATATTTTTCTCTCTACCTTCTTTAAAAGATGGCCTTACCCAAAATCAAAGAGCTATATTACAGAACGAATATAGTAGTAAGGACTGGAGAATGTTCATTTGAAGTTGTGATATGTATGAAACCAGTATAGTTAACTAGAAAATCAGTTTATAATTAACTACTATCTCTCTTCCTTCCTTTCTTCTGTTATTATTTTTTAACAGAAATATACTTGATTCTGACAACTATAGTCCCATCCCAGTAACAAGTGAAGACATGTATAAAAAGGTAGTAGGACAATTCCCATTCCAAGATACAGAGCTGGAAAAGGTAAGGAATACTTTAAAATAGTTATCTGGTTGTTTAGCCATCCTGAACTTTCATTAGATCTCTTTCTTTGAAACTTGTAACCTTCAACTCAACAATTAGAACTTTAAAGCATATTCAAAGGACACTTTTGGAGGCTCTGATATGAAAATTAGTAGATGGTTGTAGGATCCTGTCATTTCTGTAGGATTTGGGGATTGCTGGGGTGTTTCACTTTGGTTTACATTTTTAAATGTGTGCTTTTATTATACTCTTAAAATAATATGTTCCAAAAACATACAATAAAATTTACCCTTTGAGGTGTATGATTCTGTTAAAACAATACAATGCGTCATGTTTCTCCTACCCCAATAATAATACAGAACAGTCCATTATCCCCCCCAAATTTCCTTATGGTGCTCCTTTCTCATCACCTTCGTCCCAGTTTCCAGCCTCTGAAAGCCATCAGTCTGATCTATATCCATTTACTTTTGCTTTTTCCAGATAACCGTATGAAAGGGATCATACAGTATTGAGATTGACTTCTTTGACTAGCATAATATTTTTGAGATTCATGAAAGTTGTTGCATATATCAACAGTTCATTCTTTTTTTCTATTCCTGAGTATGTACCACAGTTTTTTAACCCTTGACATGTTGAAGAACATTTGGATTATTGTTTTATTCAAATTTATATGTTATTCTTTTTAGTATCAGAAAACTAAAATTTTTTGGAGATGTTTTCTTAAATTTGAGGTTATTAAGCAGACAGTTCATAATGTGGAAGAAAGTTTTCTTGGCATTTTAAATAATTTATAAGTATCTTGAATATATGTTTGTGACCTGCTTTAATTCTTGCATTTACAGCAACCATTCCCAAAAAAGTTTCCTTTCTCTGAATTTGTGCCAAAAGTTTATAATCAAATTAAAGAATTTATCTACGCCTGTCTGAAGTTTTCGGAAGATCTACATCTAAGGTATAATATGAAATAGTCAAAAACAGTGGAAATGAAACAAATACTAATACAGTGACTCACTCTCTAAGTAAACTTTTGGAAAAACTTTTGTATTCCTTTCATCTCTAACTTTGAAATTCTTAGTCCTTCATTGCATGACACTGCTTTACTTTTATAGTCATAATGAAAGAGAAATGTAACTTTTGAATAATTTTTAGATTTTTATATTACCTATTGTTTGCTCTACCATTTTCTTTATAGATTTACACTTTAATACTTTCTATTCATAAGAATTCACTGGGAAATTGTAGTATAACATACTAATTTAACATTCTACCTGATGAAATTATAAGACCTGGAGAATGGCAGATAAAATCCTTTGGAAATACTATTATTGGCCAGCTTTGTGTATGTTTCTGTATATTCTAGACTGCAGCCTTATTTCTTTGTTCATACATATGTAAGTTTATTTACCATGCATTATGGCTAACCTGTTACATGTTAGATGCTGCTTGATAGTGACGATATTAAGATTCTACAAATATCTCTGTCTTCAAGAAGTATCTAATTGAACTGAGGAACTACACAATTAATGATATGTACTAGACATATACAGGAGCAACAAAGGAGCCACCCCAAACACATATTGATGATATTTTGGGAAGATATCTCCTATATCTAATTAAATAAGTTAGAAAACAAATGAATGACTGAATGGAAAGTGTGATATGCCAGGCTATTTTCACGTAACAAAATTTGGAACAAGTTTGAATCATTGTTTGATAACCATTCTTACTATAAAAAGTGGGGTTCTACTATTAATTTGTTCTTGTTCTCTGAAAGTGAGATTAATTTAATAAAAAAGCCCCCTTCCCCTTAAGTGTTAGGCATTGAACCTAGGGCCTTGCATATGCGGAGCAAGAGGTTTACCACTGAGTCACATCTTCAACAAAGAGTTCTCTTGAAAATGATATCTTTGAAAGTTACACACCAGAACCACCTCCCTCCCCTATTTGCATCTAAACCCACAGTGCTCACTTTTCCACCCACTGACCAAGCAAGCTCATGTCAGAATGGACTATAGGGGGCCGGGGATTTAGCTCAGTGGTTCTGGTGCCTGCCTCACAAGAGCAAAGACCCAAGTTCGATCCTTGCTTCAAAAAAAAAAAAAAAAGAAAGAAAAAGTCAGAATGGACAATAGGGTGTTATTAGGTATATTACTGTGGGTAAATTATTATGAATTCATTGCAAAATGGCTTTTTCAGGTTTCTTACTTGGAGGAAAGTCAATATAATAAAGTGATAATGTGCGTGAATTATTCAGTTACATTTTGTTGAATGAATATTTTATTTCACTTTTGCCTGAAAACTCCCATTGACATTTTTTACATTGACAATTTAAATTAAATATTCAACTCTAGGGGATTGTATAGTTGCGTTTTATTTTCTGGTTGACATTTATCTTCTAGAGTATATTTACCTTATAACCTAGAATGGCGGAGATCACTTTGTCGATCATAGCTGTCAAAGGAAAAATGCTAATATTATTATCACATGAGACAGTATGTATAAAAACAAAACACATGGCTCTCAAAACAAGAGTAACATTGACAGTCTCATAAAGCTTTTAAGATAATTGTTTGCTTAAATGAAATTTTCTTTTTTAATGTTAATTATTTTCTTTTTCATTGGACAGAAATCCTGAAAATCATTGCAAATAATGAAAAAATCTATAATTGTAGGAATTCTGAAGACACAAAACATTGTTTTTGAAAAAAAATTTAAGCAGCAAATGGCCTTCCTATGGTAACATACTGTTGTAGCATTTGTACTTTAACAAAATAGAGTATACACATAGATTTTTTTCGCTATAACACTAGATCTTTGTAAAGAATTTGAGAGGTATAGAGTATTCACAAAGGGAAAAAATGTAAAAGACCTCAAACTATAGCACAAGGGAGGTACATCATTTATATATGGAGTTTTTTTTTTCTTTTAGTCTTTCTTCTATGTTAATACATGCACATTCACAGCACTTTTTTTTTTTTGGTACTGGGGTTCGAACTCAGGACCTTCCACTTGTGAGGCAGGCGACGGCACCACTGAGCAAAATCCCTGGCCCCACAACATTTTTTTATTTTAAAGAAACTGATTTCTATGAGATACTTCCAGTTGTGTCTGTAATATAGAAAGCTGCAAAGATTATTACTTCCTCTCCAACAATGAACAAAAAAACCCCAAGTAACTAAAAAATTAAAACTATTCCAGAGCTATCAGAAAGCTGAATGAAGTGAGAGGGCAATCAAGTATCCTGGGGAGAGAGAGGAAGAAAGAGGAGAAAGAGGACAGAAAAAAAAGGAGAACTGGGAGGGAACAAAGTACCCAAGATCTGTGGAGCAATTTCACGTAGTACACCCAAGAAGACTGAGAGAGCAGAGAAGAATAAATATCTGAAGAGATAATGGCTGAGAAAATGCTAAAAATAATGAAAGACATCAAACCAGGGATTTGAGATTTTGAGAACCTGAATCCAGATAAACAATAACATAAGAACAAACAAGCAAAAATATGTAAAACATCATAACAAACTGGTGAAAGGGAAAGATGAATATTTAGAAGGCACCAGAAAAACATTAGTTGCAAACATAGTGATGAGATTATAACAGACTTCTTGTCTGAACTGTATAAACAAGAAATAATGAAGTGACACCTTTAAAGTACTCAAAGAATACAAAAATCTAGGCAGAACTCCATAACAAGAAAATAATTTTCAAAAATGAAGGCAAAGTAAAAAAATTTTTTTTAGCCAGAGTTGAGTTTGGTAAGAATAGAATACTTTCTGGCACATAATAAATATTATTTACTGATGCTACCAGTACTGTTTTATCATTAATACTACATGCAGCAATGTCATCCAGTTTGCCAAAATAATTCTACCTCGTGTAATTGACCTCATATTTTTTTCAGCTCCACTGAAGTTGATGACATGATTCGTAAATCCACAAACCTTTTGCTTACTAGGACTCTGAGCAACTCTCTACAGAATGTTATTAAAAGGAAGAATATTGGGCTTACTGAGGTAAGGTTGCTGTTAATGAAACCAGTGTCCTTAGCTGTGGGTGTTATGTGTGAATTAATTATAACTTTCCACGTGGTCTGTTACGTTCTTTCTTGTGAGCTCTCATAGGTAAAAGTGCAAAATAAAATCTATTGTTCTTTTGTCACTTTTGAGAAATCCATTTTTCTCCTAAGAAGTTACTTTTTTTTTCCTTCTTGCATTGTTTTTATAATGTTAACTGGTTTCCTTTTGGATACTCTTGGAATGCATTTGTATTGCTTGCTATTGATTATATAAAAATTTTTTGGTTGCAGAATATCTTCAACATCAAATTGATATCCAAATGAATGGTAATCCACTTACCAAATAGAACATGAAATACATTTTTGCCTGCATCAGTTATTGATGTCAAAGATACTGGCACTCATAATCTTTGGTTAATGTTCAACTCAGTGTTTGTTTTTGTGTTGTCTCATGTATACAAATGGTGAATTTCTCTATCAGCATATAATCTGTTTGGCAAAAAGACTGGGGTTTGAGTTATGGAATCATGAGAAAAAGATAATAGTTTATATAATCTAATAAAAGAAGATTTCAAATTGTACTTATGTTAGAATAGCATCTTGTCAAACTGTAAAACTGGCCCATTGATGTGTAGACCTAAAATTTATAAAGATATGACATTTCCTTTCTTCTGGAAACCCAAGATTGCATGGTAACCTCAGCCTGTCACTTACTGAGGTTATAGAGCCAACAGTGAGAGCTCAGAGGAATTTTTTTTTTCTACAAAAAAAAGGAAAGGCTGTTGGCCATCTGTTTTATCAATAGGAGTGATGTAGTTTTAATGTCAGTTCTAGGAAAAATTGACACTTTAAAATACATACCGTTAGGATTATGGTAAAGTTCAGCAAATGGTTAATGATAGTGCCCTATAGGTAAAGACAGCTGGAAACCAGGTGAGCATGTACTTCTGATTTCTTTTCTTCATTAATATTAAAAAATATTATAAGGTAGGGTATTGGCAGTGACTAAGTTCTACTTATAACAAGCATTTTTAAAAAAAAGCTATCCTAGGCATATATGATTTAGGATACTACTCGTATTTGAAAATGAGGCCAGTTTTTGTAATTAGGTAGTCTGTAAAAAAAGAAAGTAGGAGTGAAAATTAGGAAATCCTTCTGCTTTTATTGAAATATACTGTTTTCTTTTTCTGAATCCCAAATGGTAAGTTGGCTTTTCATTCATTCATTCATACATTCATACATTCATTCTTCTAGGTACTGAACCAGTGGGCCATTCAAATGTGAGGCAAGGGCTCTATAATGGAGCTACATGCCCAGGCCTATCACTCTTGATATAAGTGTTCTTATGCTGTTCAATTTAGCAGTCTCTTACAAATCAATTTAGAACAAGAAGCCTTGTAGGGATGTGGTCTGATAGTAACAGCTATGACTTCAGAAGACTCTTGAGTTTCATAGAAGACTCTTGAGGTTCATTGTGGGTGTGCCATTGGTTTACTGGGACATCTTAAGAGAAAGGCCAAACTTTGGGTTGGGCTTTCTTGACCTAATGTCCTTTACAAGGGCACTGTACGAATCAGAAAATAATAGGAAAAACCAATGGGAGCTTATCAGGGTACCATCATATAATAATTTTGGCACTCTTCCATTGCTATTCTAAATGATTGGGTGTTTTTTGGGAAATGTACAGTTCTTATCAGTATCTTTGCTTATGAATGAAGGGATATTAATACATATTAGGTTCTTTGGGTTCTTTTTTTTTTTTTGTGGTACTGGGGATTGAACTCAGGACCTTGCGCTTGCGAGGCAGGCACTGTGCCACTGAGCTAAATCCTCGGCCCTACTTTGGGCTGTTATGATAGTGTGTACATGTATAGACACACACATATAAAATGAGGTTTTTCCTTACCAGAAAATCTTTGAATAGCTATACTATTCACCTCTGGAAAGAGAAGACATTATATCCTTTATAAGTATCTAAAGTTAGTTCACATCTGGAAGCATCATCATAATCGGTAACATTTGTAGAGCAGTTTATAGTCTTCAAAGCCCACTCACAAATACAATGTCATTTAGTACAGTAACATTTGAAGCAGCTTGGCATGTGTTATTATTCCCATTTTATAGAAGGCATAATTAAAGTTCAAGGAGATTGCCCAAGGTCATACAACTAGCCAAAGTAGAAATTGGACCTTAAGTCTGGGGTTTTTTTCCAAACCTTTTCATTCTTACTATATTATACTGCCTTTCATATTGATTTAATTATTTCATCCTAACCAAGATAGAGTTTTTACAGAAGGTCCATAGTAACATGGAAATTATTTTAGTTAGAAATGGCTTTGTGTCAGAGAGCAGAAATCCACTTTAAAAATGAGATTATTATAAGCATACAAAACTCATAGAATCCTGCTTCAAGATGTCAGATAATTATCTTAGGACTTAACTGTTTCCATAAACTAATGTCTGTCTCCCTATTTTGTTGGGGGTTACATACTGACTTTGTCTTTCTTTTTTTAGTATCTGTTTCTTTCTCTCTCCGCACCCTGGGTTTTTTTTTTTTTTCATGGTTTCTTTGCTTTCCCATGTTGAGCAAATTCAACACCTAGAACTAGCACCTATAGAACTTGCTCTCTCAAAATTTATGTGATTTTTATAGTTCATTCAGTGGGAACAGCTAATTTTTAGGGCTGCTTCCTTTAGGTTTATAGAAAGAGCAATTGATTACTATTTCATACTGTTGTATCCTAACAGACTGTCATCTTCAGGTCTGTGGAAGGAGCAGCTGAGTTATTTTTGAGAGTATATATTTTCATGCAGACTGAGTTCTGATATTCATCTTCTTCTGAATAGCCATGTTCTTGGGCAAATTAGTTGAATTTTTTTGTAAAATGAGGACAATAGCATGTATTTCATAGGATTGTTGTGAGGATTAACTGAGGATGCTATGTACTTTCAACAGTGTCTGAACCACAATAAATACATATTGATTGTTATTATAACGAGGTCTGAGCAGGCAAATAATGTTTAGTACAAAAATTGCAAGTGTAATTAAAAGAAGTCAAAAGATGTGCAATTTAGTTATGATAAATGAGTCAATATCACTCAGTGATGTGGCATTAATATATTTTATTTATATTACTATTATCTAATTCTTTAGAATCTATCTACTATTTCTTTGGTATAACATTTATTTGGTCAGTTTTAAAATGATGAAAGATAGTCAATATGAATAACTTTAAGAACATCCAAATGTGTAGTTTGAAATAAGTTTTAAAATGAGATTTGAAATAAGCTTTAAAATAATATTTAAAAATTCTGGGGATTTAGCTCAGTGGTTCTGCTGCCTGCCTCACAAGCACAAGGTCCGAAGTTTGATTCCTAGTACCAAAAAAAGAAAAGTTCTAAAAATTTGTTCTTTTAACTCCATGTTAATTTAAAAATATTTGTACATGGAGCGAATAGAAAGAAACCAGTTTATTAATCTCACAGTATAAGAAAATTGGTTGTTTGAAAGAAAGTTTTCACATGAATCAAAGGAAGTACTACCTCTTTGTGAAGAGTACTTTAATCATCTTAAGGTATCTGATTAAAAAGAATATATATGATATAAATCATAGATTATACTTTTAATTTACTATTCAAATGTTATTTTTTTATTGTGTAGTTCCTAGGCCATCCTATTTGAAGACAGCTGAGAGCTATCATTACCACAGACCTCCTTATTTTCACTTCTATTCAAAGTGCTTATTATGTATAAACACGCTGTTTATATCTGTATGTGTTAACTCTACTCTTCATGAAGCCAGCCACTTTGTCTGATTAGAGTGTGTATATAGTGGTATTCCACTTTATTGGTATCTAAGAGGTTCTCTTTTTGATACTGGAGATCAAACTCGGGTCCTTGAGCTTGCGCAGCAGGCGGCGAAACTACTGAGCTAAATCCCTGGCCCCCATCTAAGAGGTTCTTAATTGACCAATTGATGAAAAGAGAGAAAGAAAGAACATAGATAGGTTGGTTCATAGTGAAAATATATTGGCTGTTTATATTTTTGTTATTATAGTAGTACCCCAGGAAAGCTGAAGAAATGATCAATGCTTTTCATTTATCCTGTATTTAGTATAATTTTGTTAAATGCTATATGGCTCTGTCCTCTTATTTATATCTCATTTACCAAGTATTTCCACCCCTTATTGTTTTTTAAAAAATTTATTGGTACATTTTAGATGTATATAATGATAACATTCATTACAGGGAATTTGTACCTGTACATGATATATCTTGCTGACCTTCTTTGTCTCTCTTAATCAGTCTTGGCCTGAAATCCACTTTGTCTACAAATAGAATAGCTACCCCTGCTTTTTTCCAGGTTCTTGTCATCTGGAGTATTGTTTTCCATCCTTTGACTTTCAGTCTATGAATTTCTTTTTGAATTAAATGTGTTTCTTGTATGCTGCATATTGTTGGATCTTACTTTTTGATCCATTCTGCTAGCCTGTTTCTTTTGATTGGTAAATTGAGACCATTTACATTGATAGTTATAACTGGTATGAATCGACTTATCCTTGTCATGTTATTTTCTTGTTGTTGGTTCCCTTTTTTGACCCCCCCTTACTTGCCTTGCCTGGTGAATTTATTCTGTTGGGGTTCATGGAGTTGTAGTCTTTGATATCTCTTTCTAGAATGTCCTTGAATGTTTTCTAGTGCTAGTTTGGTGGTCATGAATTTCTTCAGGCGTTCTTTGTCATGGAAACGTCTCATTTCTCCATCAGTTTTGAAAGATAGTTTTGCAGGATGCATCAATCTGGGCTGGAGATTGCTTTCTTTTGGGGTTTGAAATGCTTCACTCCAAGCTGTCCTTGACTTGAGAATTTGTACTGAGAATTTGTATTGAGAAGTCTGCTGTGATTCTGATGGACTTTTTTTTATAGTGATTTGTTTCTCTTCTCTAACAACTTTTAATAGTCTGTTCTTGTGTTGGATTTCTGGAATCTTGACTCTTG